TCAGTGACGTTGGCTGGGCTCCCCCTGCACCCACCTGGCCTCGGTGACATTGACTGAGCTCCCCCTGCACACCCACCTGGCCTCAGTGACGTTGGATGGGCTCCCCCTACACCTACCTGGCCTCGGTGATGTTGGCTGGGCTCCCCCTGCACCCACCTGGCCTCGGTGACATTGGCTGGGCTCCCCCTGCACCCACCTGGCCTCGGTGACGTTGGCTGGGCTCCCCCTGCACCCACCTGGCCTCGGTGACGTTGCATGGGCTCCCCCTGCACCCACCTGGCCTTGGTGACGTTGGATGGGCTCCCCCTGCACCCACCTGGCCTCGGTGACGTTGGCTGGGCTCCCCCTACACCTACCTGGCCTTAGTGACGTTGGATGGGCTCCCCCTGCACCCACCTGGCCTCGGTGACGTTGGCTGGGCTCCCCCTGCACACCTCCTCCAGCTGGACGTAGACTGAGCAGTTGACGCGGCTCCAGTCCGGGTCACAGACGGCCAGGAAGTTGGGCCGCAGGCGGCCGATCGTGTACTTAGCCAGGTCTGTCAGGGACTGGCTCACCGCAGCCCCAAACAGGAAGGTCCCCAGCACCTTGTACACAGCGGCCACGTAGTTGTTGAAGTTGGAGCGGGAGTACAGGCGGTTGGTGTACACCAGGTACGCCTCCCCAGCCGAGACCTGCACAGAGGGCAGGGCAGTGAGGGAGCTGGCTAGGAGCTGCTGAGGGCTCGGGCCTTCCCACTGAAAGGAATTTAGGGCTTCTGACCTCCCTGAGGCTGCTGGGGAGCAGGGGACTCCCACGTGGGCCCTATTCCCACAAGTACCTCCCAGAGCAAGGCCATGCCTCCCCTCTTCAGACCCCAGGGCAGGACAGGGCCTCCTTCCTCAGATTCCCCAGGGCAAAGCCCAGCCTCCTCCTTCAGACCCCCCAGGCACGGCAGGGCAGGGTTGTGCCGCCCCCCCCCCCAGGTCCCTATAACAGAGCCATCCCTCCCCCGCAGACCCCAGGGCAGGGCCGTACCCCCCACACCACCTCCCAAGGCCCCTCCCACCTTACCAGGATGACAGTGGCTGTGATGATGATCCCGGCCATGAACCCATGGGTGATGGTGTCTGGGCGGTAGGGGTACCGGATAGAGTCATCTCCACAGTAAAACCCTCGCTTGTATGGGGCATTCACCAGTGTCAGGATAGCAAAGGGCAAAGAGGCTGGGGGTGGGAGGCGAGGGGGAGCTGGGTCTAGGTTCTCCCCCAGCCGCAGGCCCCACCAGCATCCCTCGTGGTCTCTGCTCACCCATGACCATCAGAAGGAACTTTTCTCCCCATCAACACCCTCAGGGCTACCAGCTAAACAACAAATCCTCCCCAAGTCCCCTGTCCAGCCCCTACCCCACATCTCGCACCCCCTCCCCCTCACTCACCTTTCTGCTCTTCCAGCAAACTGGGCAAGCACACCCAGGGCCTTTGCACATCCACTTCTCTCTGCCCCCAAATCTGTGACTAACTCATCCTTTCCACCTCAGCTCCTGGCTCAGTCCCATCACAGGGGCACCCAGGTGGTCAGACTCCTAGGATGTTCCCTTCTTCACAGTGTCTCCCGGCACCCCCAGCCAACCTGTGTATAATTAGCTCCACCTCCCTGCTCTCCCACTGGAGCCCTGGTGGCGAAGTGGTTAAGCCCTCGGCTGCTAACGGAAAGATCGGTGTTAGGAGCCCACCAGCCACTCCAAGGGAGAAATATGGGGCAGTCTAATTCCGTAAAGATTTACAGCCTTGGAAGCCCTATGGGGCAGTTCTCCTCTGTCCTGCGTGGCCGCTATGAGTTGGAATCCACTCCCACCAGCCCTCCCCCCGACCTTGTCTCCTCTCACAGAACCAGCGGGCTGCAGGCACGGCCCACAGCAGACAATAACCGGGGTTACACTCCAGCTCGGCAGCCCCCCACCACCAGTTTGAACACCAGCGGCCCAGTACCTGCCTGGCCCACCCCTACCCAGTAACACGGATGGTAGCAGCCCCTCCCTCACAGGCTGTTGAAGGAACCGGTTTAATTATTTGCACCTGGTCCACCGTGCCTGCACACAGTAAGCGCAGCATAAACGTTTAAATAAACAAAGAACATCGGTCCCCAGAGCGAAGTGCTTAGGGCTGTCAGGTGTCGCCTGGGGAGCCCTCCTTGCTGTTACCAGGCCCACCCCACAAAGGGACCTGAGCGGACGATGACCAGGCCTCCGCCATCAGACCGGCTGAGCGCTCTCTCTCCTCCTGCCCAGGGATCCTCGTATGGGGGGCGGGGGGGGTGGGGGCGGCGGCGATTTAGGCCCGAGGGCCCCACCCCCACCGGGCTAGAATCCCGGGCCATTGTTCTCACCGACCCAGGGCAAACACTCGGCCTTTGTTCCCGGCCCAGGGGGAAGGGCGGGGAGGGGGACTCCGGCCGCCCCCTCCCCCAGCCTGGTCCGCAAACCAGCCGGACAGGTTTGGGCTGCAGTTGCCCGAGGCCCTCAGTTCTCCCGGGCCTTTCTCCCCAAACCCTTCAAGCCCCCAGGCCAGAGTCGGTTGGCAGCTGGATCCCCCCACCCGCGGAGGTGCCGCATCCCGCCGACCCGCTGTGTGTCCCGGGCCAGGGGCTCGCCCTCGGAGCCCGTCCGGGATGCTGACTCCTGGGGATGGTGGGGTTCTCGCGGCGGTGACGCGGTCGCGCCCTCTCTCCGGCCCGTCGCCCCTCCGCCAGCACCGCGGCCGACGCCCGCGTGAATCACTCGGGGCCGGGCGGGAGGCGACGCGCGAGCAGCCCTTCGCGGCGACTTCCTGCTGTCGCGGGCGGAGGATGCTGACCCTGTGCTCTGGGCCCTTTACGACCCCGTCGGGTGCCTGGGACGCGCGGGGACACCGAGGCCCGGAAGGGCGCACGCCGGGACAGGGGCGCCAGCAGGAGGGATCGCAGCGGCGGGCCCTCCGGATGCTCCCCTGTCCCCACCCCCAGGAAGCGCTGCACCTCCCCGCGCCAGCCCTACACACCTTCGCGGCCGGGGCGGGGCCGACCTGGGTGCGGATCCCCCCACCCGGGTCCCGCAACTCTTACCGACCAGGACGCACAGCACGTCGAGCAGCACGAAGACCCACCTCCGCTCCATGCCGCCCGCCAGGGCCGCACCGGCGACCCCCGACCCGCGTCCTGTGACGTCCCGTCGCGTCCCGGCTCGCCACGGGTCACATGGCCGCGGCGCGGGGCTCAGCCGCCCAGGGGAGGAGACTGGAGGAAGGACCCGGCGGGGAGCGGCGGCGGGGCGGGGCGGCTGGAGGGGAGGGAGGGGCGGACTCTGCCCTCGCCCGGCCCGAAGCGCGTGGGAAGGAACGGGGGTGCAGCGGGCATGACTGGGTGGCACCGGAACCGTGGGTCTTGCCAGATGCCCCGACCCGAGATGTGGAGAGGGGATGGGACCCTGAGCTGAGAGGGGTCGTCAGTGCCCCCTACCCTCGCAAGGCCAGGAAGCCGAGGCTCAGGAACAGCGGTTCCAGGGTTACCAGGCGTCCAGGTCCAACTACGCGCCAAGGTTTGGGCGGGCTGAGTCCCCCGGGGGTGGTGACAATGAATGAAGGAAGGAAGGATAGAATAAGCGTAAGTGGGCAGATCTGCGGGGCGAGGGGGTGGGGTGCAGCCCGGGCTCCTCCGGCAGCATCTGCCGGCCGACCCCTCTCTGAGACTCGGTTTCCTCATTGGGAAGTGGGGGTCATGCTTTACGCTTTAATACCTGAAATCCAGAAGTGCCTAAATCTGTTGGGCTGTCATGGCTTAATTGCCGGAGGTTTTTCCTTCCTAAGTATCTTCAAGATCCTGGCGCGTCCTGCGATCGCTGCGTTTTAGTAGCCCCCGGTCTCCTACCGCGACCTAGAAGGGCTGTTGGTGAGGAGGCGCTCGGTGTGGGTCGGGGTATCCCCATTTTACAGAAGAGCAAACTAAGGCGCCAGGGGTAGGCACGCGCTCACTCAGGCATGGCTGGAAACGGGCGGCACCCACGCCATGGCACCGGCTGGTACTCTTTAGCCTAAATGAGCACCCAGGACGGGAACACGGCCCGAGGGGCACATCACAGTCACCCGCAGCGTGCTGACATCCAGGAGCCCTGCCCTGCCCTTGCGCCACACTTGAGTGGTCACCGTCTCAAGCTCATGCGCGGGAAGTGGGAGTGTTGGGATTAGAACCTAGGGTTCGCGCCCTGGACTCTAAACAGTACTGAATACCCCTCCCCCAATGAGCCTAAAAAGGAAGGTGTTTCTCTGCCCTTCTTTAGGTTGCAGAAGTGGAAGTCCAGAGCGCCACAGCCCCAGCTCAAGGTCAAGGTGCTGTAACTTGAACTAAAGCCCCCCTTGACCTTGCTTCCGGGGGGGGGGTGCTCATGAGAAAGCTCTGAGGGGGAGGGGTGGGAAGTGCCGACCTTGGTGGTGCTGCGGTACTGAACAGTGGACAGCTGACCTGTAGCTCCTCCATCAGCCAAAGGGCAGGTGGGAGGGTCTCTGAGCCTAGTCCTCTGTGCCCCCCAACAACTTCCCTTGTGCAGGCTGGCAGAGACCCCCCCCCCCACCCCATGCACACACACTCAGTCCCCCCCAGGCCCTGGATGGAAACTTCTGGTTCTGGATTTTCTGTCTGCAGTGCCCACAAAGAGGTGGTGTGGGAAGCACACCCCAAGGCCCCCCCTTCCCAGTCGCATACCCAGGAGCTGGGGGCAGGGGCATCCTAGACTTTCTCAGATCATTTTTAGAATCTGCTTTCCTTGTGCAAGAGTTTTTCTCATTCTCTGTCTCAGGGGTTGGGTTTCAGGCTCAGCTGGACCCAGCCAGCTCCCTGCACACTGCCCCCTGCCAGGTGGGTACGGGCTCTGCCCATTGGTTCCAGCCACTGCCACTCACAGGGCAATGCAAGACCTGGGGAGGAAGGAAAGTCATTTGTTCCTTCCTTCCTTCCCTCATTCATTCATTTCCTTTCCAATCAGGGAGGTTGTGAAAATTACCTGTGTAACGGCTGTGAACGAAGCACTGGTGGCCCAGTGTTAAGTGTCGGGCTGCTAACCTTTTAAGGTCAGCTGTTTGAACCCACCAGCCACTCCCCAGGAGAAAGATGTGGCAGTCTACTTCTTTAAAGATTTACAGCCTAGAAAACCCTGTGGGGCAGTTCCACCCCATCCTACAGGGTAGTCTCCACGGCAAATGGTTTGTTTGGCATTCTTGGTTTTCCTGAGTGTGACCCCTTACATGTGTGACCCCATAAAAGTCAGCCTGTTGTCAGTATTATCACTATTGCCATCGTCACTTTTGTTACTCCCATCACTATCATCCCCTCACTTTCTCACACTCCCACCTCTGCAATCAGGCGACCACAGCCTTCTGTGGGGTCTGGACAGCGCTCTACAGGTTGAGCTAAAGAGGAAGTGCCATACTGGACTGGAGTAGATGAGATGCGAGGTTCCTCAGGGCCGGGATGAGGTTGTGGTAATGGGACCGGTGGGAGTGAGCTGGGAGAGGGTGGGAGGGACCCAGTAGGGTCTCAGGGGGGCCCTGGGTGTGAAGCGGGTGGGGAGATGAGGCTAGAGGGCCTCCTTACCCTTCCCCCACCTCGTCCCTCGGGTCAGCATCAGGGTTAATCTATAAAATTCCAGTAGCGTCAGGATTAAAAACCCACAGGGCAGCGAGGATTAGGGTTGGGCTTGAGGTCAAGGCACCTCCCGCCTTGCAAGGAGCTTTTACTCTGGATTTTGTTCAGGCTCCACGGCAGCATGGGAGGTCGGTGGCTGCTATGGGCGTGGCGTGGCGTGGCGTGGGGGGGGCCGATGTGAAGCCAGGGAGGCCGAACTGGGGCGAAGCCCGGACTTGGGGGGCTTGTAGGAGATGACAGAGCTGGGAGCAGCTGACTGACGAGTTTGTCCCTAGAGACCGCCCCAGCAAGGAAGCCCGCAGGGTTGGCTCTGCAACCCGGGCTCTGGTTCGTTTGCAGATGCTGGTACAAGGCCTGCAGAGCCAAGCTGCCTGGACCTCGCAGAGCCCGTCTCCCACGCGCGCCTCTTTGTTGTCTCCGGGAACCGGCAACTGCAGGCGCCCCTGCCCGGCCTCCACGGAGGGGGCAGGGGCGCCCTCTTGTGGACAACGCGGGCAAGAGCCGCAACTCTGGCTCTGCCCTCCCTGGGCGTTCAGGGCCCCAGTGTCCCCCAGTGTCCTAGGAATGGGGCTAAGCGTTCACTCCCGTGATCTTAGCACAAGGGTAGGGTTGCCAGATTTAGCAAGTAAAAACACAGGACGCCCAGTTAAATCTGAATCTCAGACAAACAACAAGTAATTTTACAGTGTAAGTCCAAAATACTGCATGGAATATTGTTGTTAGGTGCCAACGAGTGAGTTCGGCTCATAGCGACCCTGTATACAACAGAACAAAACACTGTCCAGTCCTGCACCATCCTCATGATCGTTGTTAGGGTTGAGCCCACTGCTGCAGCCACTGAGTCAATCCGTCTTTTTGGGGGTCTTCCTCTTTTTCACTGACCCTCTACCAAGCATGGTATCCTTCTCCAAGGACTGATTCCTCCTGATAACATGTCCAAAGTGTGAGATGTAGTCTCGCCATCCTTCCTTCTAAGGAGCATTCTGGCTGTACTTCTTCCAAGACAGATTTGTTCATTTCTCTGGCAGTCCATGGTATATTCAATATTCTTCACCAACACCGTAATTCAAAGGCATCAATTCTTCTTCAGTCTTCTTCATTCATAGCTCAGCTTCTGCACGCGTTATGAGGCGACTAAAAATACCATAGCTTTCGTCAGGTGCACTTTAGTCCTCAAAGTGACATCTTTGCTTTTTAACACTTGAAAGATGTCTTTTGCAGATTTGCCCCATGTTATATGTACCCTGGTGGCTCAGTGGTAAAGAGCTTGACTGCTAACCAAAAGGCTGGCAGTTTGAATCCACCAGCCACTCCCTGGAAAAATAAAACCTACGGGCAGTTCTACTCTGTCCTACAAGGTTGCTATGAGTCAGAACTGACTCGACGGCAGTAGGTTTTTTTAATTTGGTTTATTTATACATCATTTGATTTCTTGACTGCTGCTTCCATGGGCATTGATGGTGGATTCAAGTAAAATTAAATCCTTGACAACTTAAGTATTTTCTCTGTTCATTGTGAACATACTTATACTAAAATATCAATTTGCTGTTTATCTGAAATTCAGGTCTAACTGGGTGTCCTGTATTTTATCTGTCAACTGTACCCTGGAACCACAAACCAATAAGCCAGGCCCGCAGGAGAGAGTGAGCAGTGGGCCAGGTGTGGACAGACATCTTACTCCAGAACCAGATGTCCTCAACATAGGCTGGGCCCAGGGAGGCCGAGGCTTGGGGGACATGGCTGGGTGGGACTGCAGATCCTAGCACCTCCTCCCTCTCTAGCCCCACTGCCACAGAAGTGGCTACAAGACACCTGTCTCCAGATACGCCCTGGCTGCATCCTAACATGTTTAGTAAGAGGCATGGAAGATACAAAACAGACCTAAACTGAACTTGCAGAGATAAAAGTACAATGGTTGAGATGAAAAATACAGTGGATGGGAGTAACAGCAGGTTAGACAATGCAGAAGGAAGTGCCAGTGACCTTGAGGACACAGCAATACAAAATAAAACAAGGAGTGAGAAAAGTTTAAATATCGAAGGAGCACTAGTAAGTGTGTAACAAATTCAAGTGGTCTAATATACATATAACTGTAGTCACTGAAATTGGAGTGGGGAAGGACAGAAATATATCTGAAGAAACAACAGGTGAACAATATTCAAATCTGATTTTAAAAAACCTATGAAATCACAGGCCCAAGCAGCTCGACGAACCTGAACTAAAAGAACACGAGGAAAACAACACCAAGGCACATCATTATCAAGTTGGTCGAAACCAGTGAAAGAAAAGAATCTTAAAAGCAGTCAAAGGGGCGGGGCCAAGATGGCAGAATAGTCAGACGCTTCCTGTGGCCCCTAAAGTCTAGAAGCCCTGAACATCAAAGGCAAAGCTGAAGAATCAGACCGAGGGCAGGTGGAAGGAGAGACAATTCAAAAGCAGTGGAGAACTACAGATGGCAAGATGGCCAGCGCCCTGCTGAGTTTGCCCAGCGCACACGGGCTTAGGTGAGCAGCATCATTCAAAGACGAGCCTCACCACAT